AGTCCTGGAACCCACAAGAGGAGAGGCAATTCTTGATTTAGTCCTAAGTGGAGCACAGGATCTGGTCCAAGAGGTGAATATAGCTGGACCCCTTGGTCATAGTGACCATAATATAATTAAATTTAATATCCATGTGGTGGGGAAAACACCACAGCAGACCAACACTGTAGCATCTAATTTCAGAAATGGCAATTACACAGAAATGAGGAGGTTAGTCAAACAGAAATTAAAAGGTACAGCGCCCAAAGTGAAATCCCCGCAAACTGCATGGAAACTTTTTAAAGACACCGTAACACAGGGCTGTTGGAGGGACACAGACTGGGGTTCAGAAGGTCTAGTGGGGTGACAGCATTGAGCCAGGGGCTGAAAGGGCAGGGGCTGGAGGGCAGGAGGCTGCAGGACTACACAGGGATGGGGGGGTGGGGTGCAGGGACACACAGGAACAGAGGGTGCAGGGACACACGTGCCTGACTGAATGGGAGAGGCTAGAGGTCAGTCAGGGTCTGCATGGGGGAGACTCCCCAACTCCCTAACAATCCCTTCCCCCCACAAAAAATAACTGCTCCATACTTTCCACACCCAAAAGCCCTCCAGGTTCACTCCCAGGGTCTTTCCCTCTCCCTCAGCTCCTCCATTTACCACTGACTCCCCAGGCCTCTGCACTGTATTTCTGTATTGCAGTTTAAATTAATTATTACTCAAAGTTCTGTATTAATTTTCCTAGTAAGGAATCTATTTGTCAAAAAACATTTCCTGAATCTTTTATTTTTGTCTGTATTATTAGACATACTTGCTGACAGGTATTTTGAAATAAATTACCAAGATAATATAATCATGCCAGTTTCAATTGTGTTATTTTGACAAATAAAATATGCCGAATTTTGCAGAATTTTAAAATATTGTGTGCAGAATTTAATTTTTTGGCGCAAAATTCCCCACAGCGTACGAGTTGAATAAAGTGAAATGAAAAAAATAGTCTCTGTGCATCTGCAGAAGTGGCTACTGCTGTCAAAAGCTGGTTTAGCACTGCAACAAACTCTGGTTCCAGGGGCTTAGCCAGTAACTTATAGCAGTTCAGTGGTTTGACTTTCTTTATAGCTTTGCAACAAACATGTACTTCTTAATATTATTCTTGTATTTAATTTAAATGATTTGAATAAATTATAATAAGTTTAGGCCTTAACATAGATTGTTAAATTTCAAATTTAATTTTAAATAGATTTAGTTTTAAAAAACAAACCCATAATTTAAATTAAAAAATCTGTGTTGTTTTGTTTTAACCATTTATTTTTGTCCAACCTGATGTAGCAGATGGAGCCAACATCCCAAACCATTACTATCTATCTGCAAGTAGTGCCAAAGGCCACAGAACAGCTGGAGCAGTCCACAAAAGACACTTCATAAAGAGTGTTTGCAAACAATTGTCCTTGTGTACAGGCAACAGTTAAAAGCACAGTCAAAAACAAATCACACAACCACAGTAGCAAGCCACACTGGTCCATATGAAGAACCTTAGCCCACTCTGAGGCAAGCTCAGATAACTGGAGCCAGTTTGGAATGCACAAATCAAAGCCCATGACAATGGGCCTAACCGGCACAGAAGCTTAGGGCAGTCTGATGACAACACATAGAAGACAGCAATAAGGCATATAGAAGACCATACTACAGAACAGCAGTGGGCCAGCTGACTTACCTCATCACTTCCATAAAAGTGATGAGACTCTGAAATGTGAAAACAACACAAAAGCTGAACACACACACACACACACACACACACACACACACACACACACACAGAGAGAGAGAGAGCACGCAATGGCACAGGAGAATGAAAGGAAACATGCAAAACACTTGACAACAATACCATAACTGGTCTTCCAGTAAGTAATTTTGTATCATATTACACTGAAAACAAGTTAAGCTGTAGCTAAAGTTAGTCAAAATATTATCAAAACATTTTAAACAACATATTGGTTTCAGCCAAAATAATTATTTTCATGGAAAACTTCAAATTTCTACCAAAAGTGTCACTGAAAAAAAACCTAAAACCAAAAATTGAAACTTTTCACCAAACATTTTTTTTGATTAACAAATTTTTAGTCAGTAAAAATTTTCAATGTGCAAAAAATGAAAATGTTCTGCAAAAACTGATTTTTGCCCCCTGAAAACATAGAAAAAAATCTGTTTCGGTTTTTCATTTGAAAAAATTGTTTTGCAGTAAATTTCTTTAAAAATAAAAACTCCCACATAAAGTAATTGGCACTTTTCAACCAGTTCTAACTGGAGTCTATGAGCATTTGTAGTGGAGGCAATAATAGTTTATTGAGTGAAGTAAACTAGACTCTGAGATAAACTTCTTCCTCACTTCTGATAGCACAACAGTTTTCTCTTACAACCACATTCTCCCTAATACACCTACCTTTCACTCCTTCCACAGACACATCTAATGCAGTCTTTTCTCTGGCATCTCTTCTCAGTTGCATCTCTGAAAAACTCTCTGGGGTTTTCCTCACAGCTGGTCCCATTGCATAACAGCTCTTATACTTTGGTTCTTCCACTCACTTGTCTACACTCAGGGCCGGCTCCAGGGTTTTTGCCGCCCCAAGCGG